AACCATATGAGATGATAAAGAGACATTCATGTTCTTGGTCGATTCACATAGAAGATATTTGCTAGATTGGATGATGAGATTTTACCTAAGGTTAAAAGGCCGCTATGTCACTTGTAGATGGAGGAATACATGGAAGAGTAGTAGTGCACTAAGTCTTATGTGGAATGATTTGAAGGAAGCAAAAGTCTATACAGTAGTTACCTCCAGTGTATTCTCTAATAGCATAAATTTGTTGTTTTGGACCCTTTTCTCATATCGGTATGTTTTTACAATGTTTAGTTCATCTAACATCATTACCTTAGTTGTCTAGCAAGAGGCGCATAGACATATAATGCAATTCAGCTAATATAATCCATTCATCTTGTATTTTAACAAATAACCTATTTACTCCATACAAGAAACTGAAAGTAAACACATAATGTTTTCTTTGACTACCGGGAACACCAGAGATGGCGACCTCAAATTCTCTGGTGACATACTTGAATTATTTGGCAAATAAACTATGTGGATAAAGTCATAATGTTTAGGGAAATATTGATAGTCCTACATTATGAGAAATCAAGTGCTAAGATAGACACATGTCGGAACATCCGAAAGTAAACATTACTATGCGGATGACTATGCAAAAGAACCCTTATTCATCTTTTTAGGACAATGAAGAATGGAGATGACAACCCATTGATAGTTAATATTTCTTCTCTAGAAAATGCAATGACATTGTATGAAAAACAAAATTGACCAAGCTCTTTGAAGAAGGTACAAGCATGGGATACCTCGTGCTACTCATTGCTAGATGTTGCAAGCTGTAAATGACCTGAATATGAAGACTGGGATTTCATGGTTCATGTGTTGAAGTAAACATTTGAAGTTTACAAATATAGTTCATAAACATTCGTCTCTATCCATCAGATTAAATAGAGCTATCTATCATCCACATTGCGAATTATGAAAATTCAGTTTGTATCTACAAATGCTACATGTCCAGTTTGTATCTACAAATGCCTTTATCCTAAAAGGCCAACACTTGATCAGTTCTTCCAAACAATCAAACTTTTAACCCTCAACACCATACTACCTACATATGTCGGCTTGTACATACATCTAATTCAAGCAAGCGGTGAAAGATGGATGACAGGACAACATGAGGGAATCTATGAATCAAGATCTCATAGAAAAAAATAAATCGACTTAAGATAAGGTCACACCTACTTGAGTAAAACACTGAGCTTCTTTTCCAATTTTGCTTAGATTTGAGCTCGTGCTTCTTAGAAGCCCCCCCTTCCTGCAGAGCATTTCAACAAGAGGAATTTTTCGAGAAATAAAGTGGCCATGTCCAGAGAACAAAAGTGAATATTTTTCGACGGGTCTAATTCAAACATGGCTAAACAATGATGATATTGCAATCGAAGAAACGAGTAGTGCATGCTGATTGTTATTATTATTGAATTTGGATTTGCAAGGTCATAGCATTCTTGACTCTTGATCACACTTTCTGTTAGTATGCTAGAATTGCAGTTCAAGGATCATTTGTAGTTCATTCCAAATGTTTTGTTGCCACAACTTCCACGGAGAGATTTGAGGATTGCAAAAGTAGTTTCTTATAGGTCCTAAAACATAGTGTGACATCATTGTGTACGAAAGGTTATCACTAACACTTGATTGTTCATGATTTCTATACTCCTATAAGTAGTTTTAATCACATCACCATTGCCAGCTTTGAGAGTGTTACAAGCTCTACAAGATGGGTGTAAATATGTTGGTCTGCGATGTGCAAAACTGCAGTCTTGTTGGTGTCCTTGCGAGTACATTACTAAGCACATTGGCATGCATGCCGCCGTGCATTGTTGTGCAAGCGAGGCAAGTGGCTTTGCCAACTATGTAACTTGTTTACTTTATTTCAACTAAGATTCGGTGCAAGTTATCTTGCTAAAATACATATCTTCGACTTTACTACCAAAGCAAAATTCCGATCTGCAAATTAAATGCCACATCATGGATGGATTCGGTGGTACAGACTTAACTTTGTGAATTGTAACTAGCGGGCAACAAGTGGTCTCGACCATGCATCAATTGAGTATGTCATCAAGTTTTGTAAAGATGAGGCGTTTGCGGTGAAAGCCCCTAGAAGCACATACAATTCTTTGTTTTAGCAATAAATGAAATGGATATAACAACAAAATTTAAGTATTCTATTATTGTCGATTTCATTATCTAAAAAATTCAGCCCGATTCCATGTACATATCTAACCTCGGCAATCGGCGAAATCGACTTAATTGCAATATGGCGAAATCGACAATAATCCTCGGCTGCAGAGAAGATAGATTAGCAACAAACCTCGGCAATGGATGAGGTTGCAGCCCCTTCCTCCCGGTGGCGGCGGTGTGGGGACCGCCCGGTGGTGGCGGTGGTGGAGGGGAGGAGGCGGCCGTGGCGGTGAGGCGCCGACGACAATGGGGAGGCTGGCGGCGGCGGCGTGGAGGAGGCGGCAGCGTGGAGGGGAGGAGGCGGCCACGGCGGTGGGAGGGCGCCCGGCGACGGCGGGAGGCGTCGGCGTCGGCGTGGGCGTGAGCAGCTGGGCGAGGCGCGGGCGCTGGGAGCCTTGAGCACAAGTCGGGGGGGCGGGAGGCGTCAGCGCCGTGGGAGGCGCCGGCCATGGGATGGCGGCGGTCTGGCGGGGATCTGTGGCGTGGATCTGCGGACGTGTGTGTGTGTCTGGGCACGATTTGAGGGAGAAACGGCTAAGTGAACGCCTCTGTTTACCGAGTGCCTAGATATACGGCACTCGGTAAACTCAAGCACCGCAGCCCAATTACATGTGGGCCTGGTACATGTTTACTGAAAGTGCCCAGATCTCTGACACTTTCAGAAAATGAAGAAGCCGCATGACCCAATAACATGTGGGCTGGTACATGTTTACCGAAAGTGCCCAGATCTACGGCACTAGGTAAACAGAAGCATGGCATCCCACTGTGGCAGACAGGTGGGCCGTGGCTAACCTTTACCGAGTGTTTGAGGTCACACTCGGTAAAAGTATCCATTATTTCATGCAAAATAAAAATGAAAAAATGCCAATTTAATCCTAAAATTCACCAAACTTTCACATGAATTATTTCATGTCATCTATTTACTATCTAAAAAATTCCAAGTTCAAATCATAATGTTGAATTTCACTCTTAATAGAAATCCTACTCGTCATTGTGAATGTTTAGCGTCTCTTTGGGAGATGTACCGGTTCGGCAGCGACGAATGTAAAAATACTTCCGAAACGTTATGAAAATTTTTCTATAACATAGATGTATGCTTCAATGTTAATTCTTCCAATCTCGTGATTTATCGAGTTCGATTTTAATTATTACAATTAAATTTACACGATATGTACCTAATTATCATAAAGAATGAAAATTTTGTGAAATATAGTAAATAAATCGAAATAAACACCATATTTTGGAATGGAGTACTAAATATCATATGTGGATAGAGGAAAAAGAATGAAGGGAAAAATAAGAAATTTGGTTGAATTTTACCGAGTGTTGCGCCAATACACTCGGTAAAAGATAGTGTTTACCGAGTGTTGTGCACTTACACTTGGTAAAACTTTATTATTACCGAGTGCAAATACTTCTACACTCGGTAAACATGTCATGCCGTGACGCCGTTTGGCGCACGGTTGGTATACTAGGTGACGTGGCACCTCAATACCGAGTGTCTCTTTTTACCGAGTGCACCCCTTCGGTAAACTTGTAGTTTTACCGAGTGTGCGGACTCGGTAAAACGGTCTACTACCGGGTGTTTATTTTTTCCGAGTGTTGACACTCGGTAAGTAGTTTTTTCCGAGTGCTCCGACTTTTGACACTCGGTAATTGTCGGGGCACTCAGTAACTACACAGTCTCCGGTAGTGCATGGAAGCCCCCTGGTTGGCGCGACGGTCAGTGGACATGTGACACGTAGCCACATACTCCATGTGTCTCAAAATAGGTGCTTTTCTCGCTTCCAAAGGAGACAAACGTTTTCAAGCTAAAATATACTTTCATAATAAATTTATTTAGACATGCAAATATTAATATTATTTTCTCCATAATTAGTCAAATTTTTAAAAGTTTGACTCCTCACTTATTTTAGGGCGCAAGGAGTACCCACAAAGAACTACTCCTTCGGTCCACAAAAGAATATAATTCTTGCATTTCGAGAAATAAAATGCTTTTAAGTTTGACCAAATTTATACAAAAAAATATTAACATGTATGTTACAAATTAAATATCATTAGATTCGTTATGAAATATACTTTTGTAATATACCAATTTGGAGACATATATGTGTGAGTACTATTCATTATAAACTTAGTTAAATTTGAAAGACTTTAACAGGTACGACCATAGTTAGATTCTTTTCTGGACTGAGGTGTACAAATACCTGTAGTGTGACGCGCGGGCATGCATGCTATGCTTCCGTTGACTCGCCCGCACCTTCGTCGATACGCCACGCCCCCACGGCGGCCAGACCCGCCGATTTTCAGGTTTGGGATCTCACCATTTCTGTACATGTGATGTGGAGATATGGGCCATGTTTAGTTCCACCGAAATCTAAAATTTGGTACTATGTAAAAAGAAGATTTTCCATCACATCAAACTTGCGGTACATGCATGGAGTACTAAATGTTGACAAAATCAAAAACTAATTGCACAGTTTGGTTGTACTTTGCGAGACGAACGTTTTGAGCCTAATTAGTCAACGATTGGATAATTATTACCAAATACAAACGAATGCTACCGTACACTACAGTACCTACGCTATTCCGGCGGCGCCGATTCCGGGCGCAACTAAACGCGGCCATGAGTGAGATCTGTTCTGTTTCAGAAGCCTGCTGCATTCACGATGCACCGACCATCTCGTGACAGCCTTGACAGGTTATCGAGGTGACCAGCCAACTCGCTACATAAGCAGACGCACCGAACGAACGCCAATCCATCACATGCAATGCAAGCTCCCCCAAGGAAGAAGATGCCGCGACGCAACCCCCTCCTCCTCCTGGCCATCTCGGCTCTCGTGCTGGCGTGCCCGGCATCGTGCGCCGACCCCGTGCTCCTCCCGATGGCCAAGGACGCGGCCACCTCCCTCTACACCATCCCCGTCCGGGATGGCGCCAACCACGTCCACGTCATCGACCTCGCCGGCCCGCTCCTCTGGTCCACCTGCGACCACATACCGGCCAATATCCCCTGCCAGGACCCGGTGTGCAAGCTCGCCAACGCGTACCGCGCGCCGAGCTGCGGCATCGCGGGCCAGCCCTGCTCAAAGCGGTGCAAGGCCTACCCGTACAACCCTATCACGGGGCGGTGCGCGGCGGCGGAGCTCGTCCACACCAGGCTCGTCGCCAACACCACCGACGGCAAGAACCCATTGAGCCAGGTCTCGGTCCGCGCCGTGGCGGCGTGCGCGCCGAGGACGCTCCTGGAGCGGCTGCCCAGGGACGTCACGGGCGTCGCGGGGCTCTCAGCCGCCGGCCTCGCCCTGCCCGCGCAAGTTGCGGCGTCGCAGCGCGTCGCCAACACGTTCCTGCTCTGCCTCCCCAGGTCCGGCCGCGGCGATGGCGTGGCGATCTTCGGCAGCAGGGGGCCGTTCTACCTCAAGCTCTTCCTCACCGGGGAGCCGTCCAGCGGGGACCTCACGCAGACGCTGCAGTTCACCCCGCTCCGCAGCAGGCCGGGCAACCCGCTGTACTACATCCCGGTCACCAACGTCGCCATCAACCGGGCACAGGTGCCGCTCCCGCCGCACGCGCTGTCCACCGGCGGCGTCGTGCTGTGCACCCGGGTGCCGTACACCGCGCTCCGGCCCGACGTGTACCGCCCCGTCGTGGAGGCGTTCGACAGGGGCCTCATACGGAGCGACATGAGGGTGGCCGCGGTGCCGCCCTTCGAGTTCTGCTACAACAGGACGCTGTTGCCGCCCACGCGGCTCGGCTACGGCGTGCCGGAGATAACCCTCGCGCTGGAGGGCGGCAAGGAGTGGACGTTCGTCGGCAGCAGCTCCATGGTGGACGTGAACGCGAAGACGGCGTGCCTCGCGTTCGTCGAGATGAAGGGAGTGAAGGCCGGGGACCCCGCCGCGGCGGCGGTGGTGGTCGGGGGCTTCCAGATGGAGGACCACCTGCTGCAGTTCGACCTGGAGAAGAAGCAGCTAGGGTTTGCCAAGGTGCCCATTATTTCGGCTTGCAGCAACTTCAATTTCACCAGGGGACAGTAATCAAGTGTACTGTAATAAGCCAGTGTCGGCGCAGGTTTTAGTCAATTGGATAGTCTTGGATGTTGCTAGCGACCTGCCATGTATGTCACCACCTGTTCGAGTAGCTTGGTTTAATGATCATGTGCGTCTTGACACAATGTTACTCATTCCCTTCTAAATTATAGGATGTTTTGGCTTTTTTTTACACAAATAGCTTTTTCTACACTATAATGCTTCAGTCGAGACGTCTGCCCGAACGCTCCTTGACGGGCCTGCTCGCTACCGCTACCGGCCCAACAGGCCTGCCTCTTCTCTACGTCTCCTCATCTCTCTCAAAAATATTTCCCCGTTCCGATCGCCCATGGTATGCTTCACCGCATAGTGCGCCCATGCGCTCGCCCCAATCCGCATCGCCGCCACCATCTCCTCGCGTGTGCCACCATCCTACGCTATGTCGCGACACTCTTCCTCGCCGCCGCGAGCATCTCCCCCCACGTGCACCCATCATGCACCGCGCCTCCCACTCTTCCTCGCCACCACAGCCATCTCCCCGCGCGCGCACCCTGATATGCGCCGCGCCACCCACTCTGCCTCGCCGCCGCGACCATCCACCGCCTCGCCACCCCACTCGCCTTCGCCGCCACGGCCATCCACAGCCGCGCCCCACTCCGCGCTCGCCTGTCGTGGCCATGGCATGCACCGTGCCACCACCACCCCGATGCCACCAGGTGAAGGTCGTCGCTGGCTGGGACATCGTCTCCCACAGTTGGCCGAAGACACCATGAGAAGAAGCGCATGTTGTAAGCATATGTTTCAAGTGTTTCAGATGTTTTAGATGTATGTTGCAAGTATTGCATATGGATGTTGTAAAAGTAGATTGGGATGTTGCACATGTTGCAATGGCTATACACGTATGTTGCAAACGTTTGTTCGAAATGTTTCATCTATTTGTCAGGCGTATGTTGCAAGTGTTTTTATCTGGATGTTGCATATGTTTCACACAGATGTTGCAAGCGTTTGTTCGAAATGTTTTATCTATTTCAGACACATGTTGCAAGTGTTTTATCTGGATGTTGCATATGTTTCATACAGATGTTGCACGTGTTTGTTTCAAATGTTTCATCTGTTTCAGACGTATGTTGCAGCAAGTTTTCTTTGTTGTTGCAAGTGTTTTCATGTTTAAAGCGTTGAATGGGACGACCAGAGTCACATGACGCACATCCGCAGCGGGGGTGCGAGTGCGATACGGAGCAAGCGCAGGCGGTCGCCACGTGCGTGATACGGAGCGGGAAGCGGAGTGGGGTGCAGGCAGTCCCTGTGTGCATACGGAGTGGGCGCAGGCAGTCCTTGTGTGCGAGTGGGTGGAGCAGGCGGGATGAGGCATCCGGGCGATGCGGGCGCGGGAAACGAAGGAGGGCACAAGAAACGAAGATGCAAGCAACTCGGGGTGCAGGCGTGTGTCCGGATGTTTAGGCGCTAGCATCTTCATTTTCTATTAACTTAGATATACACTATGACCAGATATATAATAAAAGTAATATATTAAAAATTTTCAAAACATCTTATAATTTGGAATGAATATAGTAGCATTATGTTGTGGTATTGCGAGTGGATGGATCTGAACGACGAGTGATCCACGATGGAGTGCACGTTGGCGCAAAGCAGGTCAGGTTCCTATTGAACTTGTGTTAGCTAGAAACAATAAAAAATGAAGCAAGTTAGATAGGGAATGCAGGTCAAACACTCAGGAAATTTGAAAGACGTGTGAGCTAGGCGCTTCTTTCGTAGCTAGCTATGGAAATTTTCTCATACTCTCTCCTCCTGATTGGATGAGCCAGTCCTCCTAGCTAGCAGGTTGTCAGTCGTTGAGGACGCCCTTATGAAAGTTGAAGCTAAATTTGTTCTTTCAAAAAGATGTTGAGCCATCACTCCCATAAACAGCATGTTCACTTGCATGTATACGATCGTAGATTATAAGCTAGAAATAATATTTTTCTCTCACACCAAACCAGCCAACAGTAAATAATCCACGATCGTTTACGACGAAACGAACGGGCTGAGAATCGTTGAAGCAACAACTTGGAGTTTCATTTTAGGTTTTGTTTGGCTGCACTCTTATTCATCTCATTCCATATGTATTTTTTAGGAGTACACTCGCTCCTAGGACAATACACGTGAAATGGAATGGATTAAGTACAGCCAAACAAAGTATCGTACTGAAGTTATCATTCTGATCGGTTAGAGCATGTGTAGACGGTTAGGAATGGGATCATTTCTAAAAATCTCTTGCCGTGTGATTCTGTGAAAACCACCAAGTAATTTTTACGGGGAGCTTTAATAATCTCGCACTGAAAGCACGGCGTCAGGCACGGATAGATCGGCCTCGAGTGCCACAGCAGAGAAAAAAGAATCAGAACTTGAAATGCTACCCTTTGACAAGAGCCTAGCTAGAGCCTAGAGGCATGGAGGCATGGAGGAGTAGAGGAGCGCGCGGCGCCCCAGAACGAGGCAGATCCGATATGTACGCTGCTCGAACCCCGGCGTCGGCGTCGTCGGCGTCGGCGTGGTCCTCGTGGAGCTCCGGTAATGCTAGCTCAGAGCTGTGCGTGCAGGCCACGTTCGAGAAGATCAGAAATGTCTGCGTGCAGGCATGCAGCTTCTGTGTTGGCCATGCGAGCTGACACCTGGGAATGGATGCAATTCAAACACCGACACCGGCTAATAATCCTTACACATGGGAGTGCGGCACTAACAACAATGAGAGATCTTTTACCATGGTTGGAATCACTTCCTAAAATATGTATTTTTGTTGATTTTATTTGTCGAAGGGCAATATCGTCAGTGCGCGCGGCCCTCTCACTCCCCACTGGCCCACCCCCGCCCCCGCCCCTGCCCTCGCCCCCAAGACCCCACGCCGAACTCGCCGGTCTCCCCCAATCGCACGCACCTCGCTCGCGTGCTTGCCCTAGCCGCCGCCGCCGCCCTGCTCTCTACCTCGATGTAGCCGCCGCCGCCGCCGCCCTCGCACGGTGTCGCGCCGGCGGCCCTGCCCTCTCACTCGCTCATCGCGGTGGCCGCTGTGCCCTCGGCCCCGCTGCCAGACGCCACCCTCCGCGCCGGCGCTCCTCAGCAGGAAGCACCACCGTCTGCCGCTGCTGCAGGCGCTGTCGGCGCCCACGTCGCCTAGATCTTGCAGCAGGGGGCATCGCTTCTCCCATTCAAGGTCTGCGCTGCTCTGCTATTCTGTTTCGTTGCATTTTTGTAGCATTGTAGCATTGGATGTTTCTTCACATGGCACCTGGGTTGCTGAGATTGTGTTGGTCGAACTAGCTGCTCTTCTGTATCTGTATGAGATTAACTGAAAGCTGGTGTCCATCATTTGCAAAATTTGTAGATCAGAAGCATGCATATACATGAGAACCCGTTGCCTTTTTCTCTATCTAGATGCCAACAAAGAAATTGACAAGAAATTCATGTATTCCAAACATGGCCAGAGTGGGTAGAAACTACCAGAATCTTGTTTACACAATTGTATCATGTGGTAGAATACCACAACGAAATGATCTACAACTCACTGTTATCTAGCTCTATGTTCCAAAATTACCTGCCAGCAGTAGCCCTATCAGGTTAGTATTCAGTTGTACTGCTAGATTGGAATGATACATGGCTGAATAGAAAAGGAATTGCTAGCTAGCTACAACAGAGGATCAAAGAGAAGGCACAATAAGCTATGCTGGAACACTGAGTCTGTTGAAGTTAAATTTATTTATCATAAAAATGAATGCGTAAAAAGTGCAAGGACCCAATAATGTCTAATTTTTTTTAGCAGCCCAACCAACCCACGATTGCATTAGCTCATATGATGCCAGGTTTATAGGGATACCTCACATTCTGTGTGATTCTCGTCAGAAACTCATAACTATGATGGATAGAGAAGGGCGATTCCCGCGCTTACCTCACATTTTAAACACATTTATGTACAAAACAATGATTCATAGCAGATTTTGTCTAGTTGCCAAAGTTTTCTGGCAATACAGCGTGTCAGCAACAACTCTTAAATAAAGTATCAGAAAATGAGTACTCGACAAATGTGTCCATATGAAAAAGGTAGAGTCCACGGAAGTAGCAGAGATGCAAAACTATTACAGCAGTTCAATAATCTAACACCCTCTACAATATGTCCCATCAGAACTTGCAACAGTCCCTTGAGTTTCACTGGAGCCTCTAATTGTCCAAGAGTTACGGCCATAATCATGCGTACATACCAGATCGGCAGAGAAGAAAAGAAAGATTGAGAACACAAAGAGCATTCATATAAGCATACAAAATGAAAACACAAAGAACATGGGATGGGGACTTGGGGAGGACAACAATAGTCGGCTACAGAGTATTCAGAGTTATCCTAATTCATAAGTTGCCTTCCTCTCCATGACTAAAAGCATATAATTTGCGCCGATCATCGACCAAACTAAAAGCTGGTCCCAAACTTTTGGCCTCTTGAAGCCATGTGTAGAGCTGTTTGTCCCTTCTTATCTATTCTGCAACCAATCCCTGGATCCTTATTTAACAGTGCAGTGACCACCTCCATATGGCCCATTCTTGCTGCTGAGTGCAAAACTGTCTTTCCATTATTTCTTGCAACCCTAGCAAGGCTTGCATCTGTTTCTAGCAGAAGATCGATTAACAATGTCAATGTGGCTCTGAGTTGCAGCAGTGTCCAAAGCTGTGGCATTTACAGAATTTGTTGTCATAGCTAATACGGGAAAGGACTGCAATAGCTCTTTCAAGACATCTGCAAAACCAAAATTGAACTAATATGAGTCTGTTTTTCTGAAAGAACAAAGAAGAAAATATTATACATGCTTTGCAAAAGAAATATCACATTCATGGGCATGAAGTGTACAACACAAGCTGGTCAGCTATTGTTATTCACAACAGCAGCAAAAATGTGGGTACAACAGGTCATTAAACTCAATTTTCTGAAAGCTCACGGAAAGTCGAACAGTCAATTGCAGCACTAA